GACAAGGCATCTGCTATGCCATTATCCACCCCAGGCAAGTGCTTTGAAGAAAAACAGATGTTAAAGCTTAAACTTTGTAGCACAAATGCCCTCACTACCTTCATGACCCTGTGTGATATGGAAGTTTGGCAATTGATAACATGTACCACCGCCAGGTTGTTGCACCAGAAACAACACTAAGCCAACTCAGGTTCCTAAATAAGCACTGCAACTAAAATGGGAAAAAATTCCAGGAAAGTCATGTCATGTACTACCCCATTTTGTGTCCAGATAGCGGGCCATTTCATCACCTGCCTTGGTAAAACCGCTCAAAGCCTCTTGAAACATCCAAATGGATTTTCAAACCCACTTCTAATAACCATTCCTCCCTCCATCACAACACCCCATTAAATTGACTAAAAAACTGTTCCCACACCTTAAGTCTTCCTTCATCTCTCTAGTAACTGGTATATAATGGTGTGGCCTGGCTATTCTTGCTGTTGCCACTGCAAGCTGGGCACAGAATGCCTGCCCCAGGGCAACAAACCTGCAGGCAAACTTCAGGTGTCCCATAGTATACTGCAGGTCTCGTAGCGTGAGTTTCTTGGCTCCTACAGTTCTCCTGAGCAATCCCAATAGCTCCCGAAGCTTATCCTGAGGGATCCGCGATATGCATGCCCTTGTGACCAGCTCGATCCTTAGGTAGGTCAATGTAGTGGAAGGGCCCTCTGCCCATGGACCTCAGCGGTTGGACTCAACAGAGGGTATCTCCTAATGATGTAGTGTGCTCCCCTAGTCCAATAGTCATTTGCTTTCTATGTGCAAATGTGGTGGTTGCCCAGATGAAAGACACACAAAAAATGCAGACTTCTGGTTGCTCTATATGAAAAACTGGCATCAAATTCACTGAAAGTGGAGGAAAGTGCAGCATTAAAATAAACCTTTGTGTGAATGTACTATTTTTGTTTTATGTCCAATACTTGCACAGTACACCTCTACCTCGATATAATGTGACCTGATATAACACGAATTCGGATATAACGCGATAAAGCAGCGCTCCGGGGGGGGGGGAGGCTGCGCAGTCCGGTAGATCAAAGCAAGTTCGATATAACGCAGTTTCACCTATAACGCGGTAAGATTTTTTGGCTCCCGAGGACAGCGTTATATCGAGGTAGAGGTGGATTTTTCAAAGAACAGTTTTACACAGAAAAGATCTGTTGAGAGCAATTTTTAGAATCTGCTTTCTTATAAAAAGAAATAGAAAATCAAGGTGCCTTTATTAGGTTCTACTAGGATTTAGTGTTCTAGAAGAAATGTGGTATTTATTCCATTGGGATTTTGTAAATTGCCTCCAGTACACTGAAGTTTTCCCCGAGGAATTTACTGTAAAATAATTAAATCTTCTCTTATATATGTTTTCTGCAATTTAAGTACTTTTAATGCCAAAATGAGACACTTCAAGAATCTTGAGCCCTCATTTGAGTTAATCCTAATAAAACGGTAATATCTGTCAAAAGAAATCTAGTAATAATAACTTGGATACTTAGCTTAAATTTATATGTTAGTTGAAATGCTAAACTTTAAAAATAAAATTAGATAAGTGCAATTTAGTAACATAAATGAAGCAGGCACCTTTTTTTTTGAGAGAAATGTAGCAATGTAACTAAATCCATATAGTTGTACAAAGTGAAAACAAGAGAGTCTTCATCTATATGAGTGCAGCTAACAGCGATAAAAAATTCTTTAATCATGGACAACTTAGAAGAGGTAAGGTGTTGACTGGACCTTTGATATTCTCTGAAAAAAACAGAATCAAGGTAATTTAGACATTATAGATCGGAGAGCTAATAGATTATATAGAATGGGATCCAAATATCAAAATTTTGTAAGCAAGAAAATGAAAGGGATGCTTTCATGTTTATAAATATTTTAATTTAAAAAAGTAAATCTTCTGTCTTGTATTTCTAATACTAGCTAAGGTTATTAAGGCTGAAATAATTTTAATATCTAATCCGATTTCCTGTGTGTATGTTGTTCATTTATTTTTTGCATTTTGCTCACCTTGGACAAGATGAAAAGACTAATCCGTTTCATTTTTCTTTATCGTTTCTAGTCAATTTTGTTTTCAGGTTCTTGCAGTAGCACAATATTGCAATAGCCAGATTGCAAACACCAGTTCGACACATTCATATTCAAGAGAGCACTTAAGTACATGGATAAATCCCATTGACTTAAGTGCTACCCTAAATAGGGATACCTTGCTTAATTGTGGCCCTCTATGGGAATATTTATTTGTTTAAAAACAGTTTACACTTGTTTTTTTTTAATTTTTATTTTAAATTAATTTTAGATTTTAGTTGGTCTTTGTTTTTATAAGCTTGTTTTTACAAAATCTAAGTTTTGGGCCAAATTTGACCTTATCACATCCCTTTAAGACTTGTGATTGGTGAATCACAAAATGCAAGGATGTTCAATTCAGACAAATATACAAAAGTTGTGTTACTTAACTGAGTCCCATGAGCTGGGAAACTTACAATGATAATAGGTTCTCTCATGAGATTTCCAGTACTTCCTGGTTTTTGCTAAATTGATTATATCACAGGGATTGTTTTTTTCTCACAGTATTCCAAGTATTTCTGCTTCCTATCATAGCTGGAACCAATAATTAGAGGTGGTTAATAGTTAAAAAAATAAATTTTAAAAAAGAATTTGGTCTGGTCATGACTTTAGGTTTGGAATACTTCTTAATTGTTCAGGGGGGTATCCAAATTCTACATAGGAAACCTATCTAGCATTTTCTTTTGGTGGGAATTAATCCATAATATTTAGATTTACTTTGAAAAGTCTGTCTACACAGGACACCATCTGACACACACAGCCATGGCAGAGTTCCTCCTCGATCTGGACATTCCCCAGGCAGTTGTGATTAGAGACTACTTCATGGGGCCCCATGTGCTTTAAGCCTCCTGAGTCTGAACAGAGTCCAGGCACTGCCCCTGGCTTGGGGTCTTTCCACACCCCGAGGGTGCACCTATTCTCCTGTCTAGTATCCCTCCCTGGGAGCTGGGACCCTGCGGTCAAACTGCGTAGCTCCTGGGACTAGTGCAGACCCCCTCAGACCCCTCCATAGCCTACACCCTCCCCCCCCCGCCATGGTGTAAGAACTCTCTTCTAGAACTCCAGCCATGTGTGTGCTCTGGATTTACAGTTCAACACTTGAGGGGCGCATAATAGTGAAAGCAAACAGACATTCAGGCTTTGCACAGGATTCTTAACACATTTTACTCTTTACTTAGCAGCACAAGAGACACACTGCACTAGACAAAATAATAAACCCACCTGTATCCATTTTCCTTGTCTCAGTTTCCTCTGGAGAGTTCTTTGTGCTTAGGCAGAGTCCTCTGGTGTGCCCAGGAGCCATCTCTTCAGAATCATGGAGACTTTCTAGGTCAGCTAGCTTTCTCTGAATTTTGCTGGTTCCTCAGTTAAACCAGACCCTCCTGCCATGAAAGCATGCCCATGTCTTCCTCTTCTGCCCAAACTTCCAGTCTTGCTCTGCCAATATCTGGTTTCTTTGTTCTGCTGGTGGTGATTTTCCACTCTGTTTCACCAGCTCTCTGCAGAGAAAACTGTTTCCTTACTCAGGTGAATTCCTTAGTATACCAATTGTTCAGTCAGAGCACAATCATTAAGGTTAATGACTCTTCATTGACCCTGGTCTGGAAGACCCTGTCAGCCAGTGAATTCCAGTTCATATAAAGACATTCCATGATAAAATTACTCCATCAAAACAATTTCATGACATCAACCAGAATTGCTAAGTTTAAAGACAGGTTCCCCAACTTGTCACTCACACTCTTGTCCAAAATCTGTCCTGTTGAGCTCAGTGGGGTTGCATGGGTTATAAATCAATGCAGAAATTGGCCCAATATATTTTAGTTTTTAAAGTGAATTCAGTTATTATGAAGGCACAGAATTCACAATACTAAAAGCCTGAAGTATCTACAATAACTACAAAATTGATGTAGCACAGGCCATATGTCCTCGTACTACCCCTATACTGGGCCTTATTCCCAACATGGCTTGGTCCTTTCAAGAGGTGAAAGGATAGTTTTCTTCATGTCTAGTCAATATTCAGTCCCTCATATAAGATTGCCCAGGCAGATCTAGAGGTAGGAATGTAGAACTAGGCAGAGCATTGACTCAATTTCCCCCAAATCAAAGAATAAAATAAAAACCTAGCTGAATCTTTGCCCAAAACAAAATCTTTGGTTAACTTTTTTTCATTAACCTTTTAGAATTTCTGCCCTTTGTGTACCTCTGCACTTCTTGGATTCAGCCGATATACTTGATATACCACTGCAAGAAGTTATTCTCATATATTTCTGACCCAGGCAATACCAAAAGTGCAGGAAACTTAATAAGTAGTAGTTATATTTTGTTCTCAGTCATACCAGTGTCAATCCGAGTAAATCTTTGGAGTCAATGGAACTACTTTGAATTTACACTGGTGTGACCGAGATCAAATCTGTTCCATAATCAGTACTTTGAGATTTTCAGCTTGATTTATCTGCTGTGTTTGTTCAAGCAGCCTCTCTTTTCAGGAAAGGTGGTGTGGGTGGTTGCATTGCCTAAGTTAAAAGCGGGGCTAATTAGGCAGCCTCTGCTTTAGAAATACAGGGGAAAGAGACTGAGAGAGAGCAGCTGCAATAAAGCACAGCAGCATAACTGCTTGAGGGGCCATCATGCACGGAATGCACACAGCCTGCACCAGCCTCCCCATATAAAAATGGATATTTATATTTTGGGGGAGGGGAAATCTGTGTTTTGATTTTCTAATATAAGATTGTAAGTGTTCATTGGGGCTCTTTCTGTTTTGAAGTCAAAGGGCAAAAAGTGCTCCTGCTTCACTGTACTTCCACAGTGTTATGGCTTTATTTTCGTTTTGGGATAAAAATACAGGTTTAGTTTGAGTGTTCCAAAACCAGATACCTCTCTCTCTCTCTCTCTCTCTCTCGTAGGCAGGGTGCTGCTGTGCCAGGCAAACCAGGAGGGATCTCCCGTGTACAGTACCCCCAGTTCACTAGTATACACATCCACAAGTAAGCCAGTGTTACGGCTCTATTTTTGTTTTGTGGCAAAAGCCGATAAATGTGAATTAAGCCCCCAGTAGTTGTTGTTAAGGTAAATGTGATATTTATAAACATGTTTAAGTAATTCTACAGGTAATTCAGCAACTGATTCGTTATTTACATCATCATTATTGTAAATAGAAAATATTATACTATTCTACTATACTGGTCAAAACATCTGTAGTGACACTAATATTTGGAATCCATTACTGTTGGACACACTAATTTTTGACAAAGTCAAATATTTTCTTTTTTGAATCTGAAATAAGCAAGAAATCAAGAATCTCATACCCTGCCACCACTTGTTTGTGTCAGGATGGGCCTTAGAAATGGCGTCTTCCTTTAAATTGTCTGGGGTGGAGTGAAAAGTATGTAGGCCACCGACAATAAAAGAGAGGCTGTGTGCAAATGGATACTGAATATACAAACAACTGGCCCAATAAAAATAGTTATGTATTGTGCTGTCCTCCATTTTTCTGCACATGCATCTGTAATGGAAATGTCTCCAAATCCTCTAAAATCCTATAGCAGAAGTGGAAACAATTCTGACAATACTGTGTCTCGTGATGATGAAGATGATGATATCAGTTCTGAATATGATCTGGGTGAAAAAAGGACCTAATGAGAGCAGTAGTAGTAATATTGATTGTTTACATTGGTGCTACTGCCAAAATGTTCAAGGAAAATAAAACAACCCCCACCATTTAGTGAAATGATCCTTAAAATATCAAGTGTATGATTACAAAGTCAACAGGAACTCCTGCTTGTTCTGGTAGACCAGATTCCTCTTTATCTGACTTGTCACAACATGATGAGCAGTAGCATCTTCTATATATTCCTCACCAGTGAGGTCTCCCTATAGAAGATGCTTACCCTTAGCTGTTTGGGGTCATTTTTGTCAGATGGTGTTCATTGCAAAAATGCAAGTGGAGGAGTGACTGTTCTGGACACCAATGCTGCAATGAGGCATCTTTACTATAATAAATCAAATTAAATATTTAGCATTGCTTCTTTAAATTATATACTTATTTCCAATGCTGAATGGCAGAATATCAGAGTTTTCTCTAGGAAAAAGGGGTGTGTGTGGGGGGGGGGGGGGGGGGGTTATGTTGCTGCATCATCACAATTGTGCTGCTGTTTTGTCGCTGGCAGTGAACAACACTATCACTATTGCTGCTGCTGCTACTACTACTACAGAAATGTGTACAATAACCCCTAAGCAAGTCCTTACCAATGAATGATAAAGTAATTTAATGTATATGAAGTATTGCAAAATAGGGACAAATAGTCCAGAGATCATCTAACCACACTACATTTATACTGGAAAATATCTAATGCTATTTTTCCCAAGCAGATTTTTTTCCAACGGTGTTATGCCTTGTGTTATGTTAGAGATGAGAAAGACCTACGATGTCAACTATTCTGTTTCCCTGCTATTAGAAGATTATTCCCTTCAGTACATTGCTAGTGTTTTATCCCATTTTGTTTTAAATGTCCTGAGTAATTGGGCCACATTCATCAGAGAACTATCCAGTACCTAATTCATCTCACTGTTAGAAGTTTTCCTGCGATTCACTCCTAATATTCCCTTTCTTAATTTTAGCCCCAAGACTCCAACTTATGCCCATATTCCACCCTAAATAAATCCTCTCTGTGCTTGGTATTTACATCTTTCAAATATTTGCAGTGTTACTAAATCCTAAATTACTCATTGCATGGCCAAACTAAGCTCCGTTTTTAGCTCTCAAAATAAATATCTCCAAATTAACTCATTCAGGAGTGGTGTGTCTTGGAAAGATGGTATACTAACAAACTCCCCGTTGTTTTCAATTAGGTTAGATAAGCAAGATACCAGATACCTTTCCCACTTGCCTCCCACTGGCCAGTCTTCAACATAAACCTTCAGAACAGAGATTGCAACTAATCATTTCAGTACAAATCACTATTATTTTGCTGAATCTCCATGCCTGCATGTCACCATATTTGCTTCCCTGTTAGTAGTATTGACAGAACATAGTTTTCCTTACAGGATTATAATTGCAGAGCTGTTAAAATTAAATTATTTTAATTACTATTGTTGTTGCAGTACTTGAAACTTGTTGCATATTTCTAGTAAGCTTTTCTAATAAGGAGAAATAACACACCTTCATTTGTAGTGGGTCCTATATTTAAAAAATAAAATACGTAAGGTGTAAATTTAATCTCCAATACATTACTTTAATGTGTATTTATTTTGGTCAGCAACTCCTGTACTTCTAATCTGGTCCACTTCTATAAAATACTTTCCTGAAAAGAGAATAGACACATCAGTGTTAACCTTAAAAAGGCTAACAATTATATTACTGTCATTCCATGTAGACAGCAGCATTACAATCCTCATCTTTCAATAATCTTTAAGACTTGTGATTTGATCACCCTGTGCTGCTATTTGTTACCATTCTTATAAATGGGTAATATTTCAGGATAAATTACAATGATTTTATCCCCCTTAAAATAGTGGAAGTTGCAAATTTGTTATCACATTCAACACTGAAGGAGGACAGTCATCTGAGATTTTCAAAGATGCCAGGGAGAATTGGACATGGTTAATTTTAATGGAAGTTGGGAATCCATATCCTTTGGGCACTTTGGAAAATCTCAGCTTCCATCTCTAAAAATGCTGTTGTCTTTAAATTTTCCTTTTTAAATTTAAACTTACTTATTGACCTTTGCATTTAGCTATCACAAAAGAACGAAAAGAAAAATGGTGGTAAAATGCCTTTCTCTGAATTTGGTTAAATTTATTCTCCATTTGGTCACTTTGTGAGCTAGCTTGTAGCAAGAGGCAGTACGTCTTAGGCTGTCTCTTGAGCAGTCCCACGAGGAAGAGTGAGACTTTTGAGTCACATTCTCCCTCCTAGTGTGCCCGATGCTCCCAGGAAGCGTGTGTACCCTTCCAATGGTGTAACTACACTGATGGGTGTAAAGGGGGAAAGAATCAAGGCTCTGCCTCCCCCAACCATTCCTACCCACTTGTGCAACGTACTGCAAATCAGTCTGCAGAACCTGTTTCTCCTGCGCACAGGAAGTGATGTATAGCACAACTGCAGAAGGGAATAAAAGGGGTGCCTTATATCTCCTTTACTCCTATAGGTTTGAATACAGGATGGGCCTAAAGCTTGATCTTTTTAGGGCATATAATCATTAAGTGAATCATTTGTAATGGAAATAACATAGCATCCATATCCTAATTTGATCACGTATGCAAACAAAAAGGAATCTGGCCCTATCTCCTCTGCTGGGGATTCCCCCAGCATAGGAGAATCCCTATTAGGAGTACAGTTGTCATAGTTGGCTTCTACACTACCCTCCAATACCAACCCAGCACAGTATGTGAGTAAGGGGCAGGAGGAGAAGTAGCCTGAGTGCAGCCGTGGAGGATCTCTTGCCATGATTAGAGCAGTCAAAAGATTGCTGCAACCTAGATTGAGACCAAGCAGAGAATCAGGGAACCATATTGAACTTCTCTGTGGTGCAGAGCCTCGCGGCAGCACTGACAGGAACTTGGTGCAGCAGAGAATTTGGCCCTTTGTGACTAATACATTTGAGCCCCTCTTCCTCTCACTCCTCCCCACTTCAGAAAATTAGAGTTTCCAGAGGATACTTTCATCTCCCTAAAAAGCGTCTACATAATGGAAAATGAGATGCAGAACCCGGAGTCTCTCTTTAATCACCAAATACTAGAGCTGCTCAACAAGCGGAACTGCCTCAAGTTTGGGCCCTAGGAGAGTATCTGATCTTTTGATAACACTGTAGAAAAAAGTGCCTAAGGTAGCCTATAATTGACAGCTATGTTATTTGTTCCTCATAGACTCTACTATTAGAACTGGGCAAAGACTATAAAAAAAATACAAATATTCATTTGAATTATAAATGAATTCACTTTGTATTCATGCCTCTCTTCCCTACTGTTTCTCATGTGGAAGCTGCCCAATTAGCCTTAAACAGGTTTATATTATGTTTAAAATATGAAAAAATATATTGGATATTTTTTGCCCTTGTGTAACCCCCAAGTTAGTGGAGGATGATTCTAAAAAGCTCAAAATTGCCCTAATGCAGGATAAGATCTAGCCAAGTACGCTTATATACGCATATGCACAGACACACACACTAAAAGAGAAGGCTCCAATTTTATCCTATATACTTGATATTTTAAACATAAAAGTAATAAGTTTAAAAAAAAATGAAAATAAAATAAATTGCCACCATATTTACTTTGTTAAAATGCATGTAGTTTCATTGAGTTAAAGCATAATCATCATGATCTACAACATCAGCATTAAGAACTCAACAGCTGTGGCCAAACAAAAGGGACAATGACAATCCCAATCCATAGTACAAATTCCAGAAGCTCCTTTAACTGCATGCAGATATGACTGGTATATCATCCTGTGCAACTACCTATCTATCACAGGGAATGAAGTTCCGAAGCACCATTGTTTCTGGAGCAAGTCCAGCATCCCCTTCATTGGAGTTGGTGAACTTTCCACCATATCTATGACCCTTCCACAAGTGAATGAAAGAAATTTCTGGTATTATTGATGACTTTCACAGATATTTTTTGTGTTCTTTGCAGACAGATCATAGAAATGAGGTAGTCAGTACACCAGATATGGAAGTGTTAAAATGTTTGTTCAAGACAAGGAATTGCATATTGCAAGTGCTCAGTCTTTAGTACAGGTTTCACTGTGTAGTGAATGGAATAGAATAAGTTGCACATTGAAGCCAAAACACAGGGAAGAGGGTGGGAAAACAGTCAGTCTACAGAGAGGAGCAGCAGCTACCAACAGAAAACATTTGTACTCTAAGGAGCAGCCAACTGACATAACCCCTGCATCTACTAAAATTGGCCTGTTAGCTGGGTTGCTGTAGCAAAGATCCCATCCGATAACAGGGGGTGGGATTTTTGAAAAAGCTTAGAGTTGGCCAAA